TGATTGTTTATCGAGTATCGGCTATAGGACGCGCGAGTATCTAAAAAGCGTGCTGCGGCCCGTGGGTTTAGCGATACACAGGTGTTGCTCGCTACGTTTTTTGCAATGAGCTTTCCAGCATGTTGTGGCCCGACTAGCGACGCAACGTTCTCGTTGCATCGATCCGTCAATGGTGATGTGTTCCGTTCCAGTCCCAGCCGTCGGGTCGAAGCCGAGTTCCTCTTTATCCAGAGAAAGCCGGGGACTGTAAACACAAACCGCGACCCATCCTCGATGCGAGTCCCCCGAGTCGATCAAACTCCCACACTCTCAGACGAGATCCGAATATGGTGAAACCCAAGAGGGAAGTCCATCTTAAGCATTATACCAAGCACATCCTGATAGACAGGCGTGGTAATGTGTCTATATGGCAATGTCCTCGTGATTATGTTGCCGCAGGGGCTCTTCGTTAACCACACCTGGTAAAATGACAGCTCAGCCCCAGGCTCTAACTTATAGATTCACACCAATCCATTACATGATTCCGAGTGGATCGCCTCACGGATGACTGTCATGTAGCTACAGTTCGCCACACGAATGAGCTTGAAAGTACAAGGACCGTATTTGGTCTTTTGCACCCACGATTCCCAGTTCCTACGTGATGACAATGTCGACATCCTTGATGGATGCATCAGATGCAGTACCTAGAGGCTCGGACGCCCAATCGAGTTGCGACACGGCGGCCTGGTATCAAGCGCTGCCAGATAGATCGGGGTTTATGGTAATCAAGGGGCTCTGGTGATGGCTAGAAATCGATTTCTCGGGAACGCCGTGCAATCGATGTTGTCTGCGAAGCATGGACGAGGGTTCGAACAATACTACCTCTTCATCATTGATCACACAGGCGATGGCTGCTTGGCGGCGGCAATCACATGGGCTACGTTGTTACGCGACATAAAGGCATACTCAAGAATTTCCAAAATCAAGCCATGCAATTAATAGCTTTTTCTAGGTCGTCATTCGTATGCAAGACTTTTAATGCGCAGTGCTGACTGAATCGTTGCACACACTCGGTCTTCTTCTCAGACAGAAGGAGATACATAGGAGCAGGGACTTGGTGGGCGAGACCCAATGGTTCGAGACAAGTTAAGAACGACAAGGTTCGCGAGTAAGAATGAGGTACAAAAATACACCACATTGCGTAACATATTGACGTGGTCTTCGATTCCTCATCTCTTTCAACATAATTGGGATGTCATACCTCTTCCTTGGGCATCCTTTCAACGTACGCATCTGCTGACGAAGCAGGACCACTACCTCCCACTTTTGGGTTCCTAGGACACTGGGTGGCTGTTATAACCCCCTTCGGCAAGTATAAATCCCATGGAACTGTCACACTTATTCTGACTGTTTCCGTGCATGTTCAAGTCATATATCCTCCTTCACAATCCTGGACAAGCATCTTCACGTCTCCAGCCACACAAAACGACATGGGAATCGCTACAATCTAAGCCGAACACCAGAATGTTTGCACCATCAGGAACACCTCGGCGGGTTCGGCAACGTCGAAGCTTTCAACCCGCAACCACGGCATCGGGTTTGGTAACAACTGAGAAAATCAAAAGCCCTCGTCAGTCGCCATTTGCCTTTCCCGTTTTGCCTGAGGGTAATGGGATTAGTAAACACCCACCAGTCGCAGATACCAAATACAGGAAAGGCTTAATCGACATTGTGAATTCTGCGAGGACTCAGCTTGACATATTGACGGTTACTACGGCATCTTTGATTCAAAGATCGTTGTCAAAGCCTGATATCAAAATTTCCGAACACGATGTCACTGAAGCCTTGGCAACGTATGATGAAGCGGTTCGGTGTCTGAGCGGAATGGTAGAAGACCTTCTTTCGAGGCTAGGAGAAAGTATACCGAGCAGCGACACGACAAGACCGCAAATGCACGTGGAAGCGCAAGCCAGTATACCTTCTGCTCCACCGTCTCGCACTGGATTCAGTTCTAGCAGGCGAATGGATCAAGATACTGTTGTGCGGTTGGACAAGGACAAAGACGACACCCTACTGCAGAGCGCTCAGGCGAATCTCCGCAGAGATACAACTTCACCCATTGGTTCTACAGTCGCCGGTTCTGATTCAGATTGCGACTCAGAACCATGCTTCGAGTCTGATGTGGAGTCAGGAAGTGACTCTGATTCTGCCTCCAGCGATGAATCTGTACAGGATCCGGCCGAGGATGACCGTTGTACCGATAGGGATTTCTATAACCAACTTATCACACGCTACGAGCATGAAGGACCGACAATGGCCAACCGGGGCGACGTGGCCCGCAGTATGATACGCTCGGCAGCAAAGAACTGGGACAAGTAGGCTCCCATCCACGACATGTTCACAATTAGCTAAGCAGCCTCCTAGGTTCTGCACTTCCATCGAGCGCCAACCGGCGGACGCGACGCTCAAGCAGTGCTCCGCTCCCATATTCAAATCCTATCTGCACTGGATCTGCAAGCACTCAAGAATCAAGAAGGAATCATCAATTACGACGTACTGGAAAGTCCTTAGCATGTACTATTGCGATGAAACAAAACAGTGGATGGAAAACGCAGTCTTATACGATATTGGGAATGTAAGTCTCGTGTTCCGTGCCTTGTCTACCGGGGAAAGCTAGCTGACAATCGTCTCAAGTGGATCACGGCTGAGCTAGCGCCCGAGTTCAGTCTAGATAACTCGACAAAGATCAAGTCCGGCCTCTATGTCACAGATCTGGACCTCATACTGCACCACCATTGGGTTCTCGATGAGCACCTGTACCCACATGAGCGAGTCCGGACAAACCTGGCAGCTATTCTGGTCCTGGCTGGTGCGACTTCAACACGACCCGGTGCCCTCATAGAGAACCTGCGCTACAGAGACGTCAAATTTCAAGTCTTCAAGCCCCTCCCAGGCAGTAAGCGAGCGCGTCTTGGTATGGTTGTGACCCTGACCAAGACGAAGAGAAGTAGTGGCAGATCACGGCGCAAGGAATACGGATTCCACGAAGAGCCCACCCTCCTGCACGACCCTGTCTTGTACATGCTGAGCCTGGCCTTCGCCGACGGGGCTTTTCTGAACGATTTACAGGCGCCCGAGGAGATATATGAGCTCAAAGTGCCGGGCAATGCGGACCGAGTGGTACTTCCGTGGAAGCCTGAATGGCTCGACAGACCGGTGTTCCGAGCTGTGCAGGGCCGCGGGAACAGCGCGAAGGTGGCCCTCGACAAGGCTTTTCAGTATCAAAAGGCTCGTGCATCCCTGATACGTCTCGGCCGGGCACTAGGATTTGAGAAGCAGCTTGAGTGGTACGATCTCCGCCGGGGTTCCGGCAAGAAGTTAAATGGTACGTGGGTCCTTTATTCCTTGCTGACTCCTACTGACATTGCGTCAGAGGCGCTCACTCCGGAAGAACGTAACCACAGCATGGGGCATTCTGTGGGGGATTCATCGACGTACCAGCGCTTCTATATGCCCGACTATAACGAAGTCGACTTCCAAGAGATCGTGTTCGGCAGTGAGCCGCAGCGCGATCTGATACACCTGATGGGCAGGCTCCTCCGCCACGGAGATGCCCCAACGAGCCTTAGCAAGGAGCAGAAAGCGGAGGTCGACAGTGATCCAAAGCTAAGAAGTCTTCGCCGAAAACGGGAATCAGTCGTAGCCCTGATGAAGCGGAAAGGATGGACGATCAAGAAGCTGAAGGCAACAGTCAGTACAACGCGGCGCAGTGATGCTCGCGGGGAGTACAAGACATATGACGAGTACCAACGATATAATAAGAAGATACACAGCTTGAGGCAAAATCTTCAAGCCCGGCGACTGGCCCGTGCCATTCGAGAGTTCCACGGTTCGATACACGGCCAGGAGATCAGTCGGCAACTCAAAGGCGTTCAGCCGTCGGAATACCTCGCCCCGCCGAACTTGCGCTATCAGCTCCCGGCGCGGGGTGTGGTGGCCAAGCTTTTCTCAAAGGTCGTCGACTCCTCGAACGGCGAAGAGATCTTCCTCCTGCGGATGAGACTAGTCAGGGAGCTTGCACTGCTAAGTAATCAAAGCGAGTCTCCCCCTGGCCGTAAGTCAGGCAGTGTTCGCCAGTCGCAACTGTCCCGTCGCCCGGTAGCTCTCAGCAAGGAGAATACTGCAAGCTCGCCTGGGCCGGATACAACGGCCAACGTGACCATTAAAAAGAGCGACGTACTTGGAGTTGCTACTCTTGCCTGCCCCCTGTGCCGAGTTCAAGAGAACTATGAGGACCTCCTCGGGCATATGAGGGCCGTGCATGGCCGAGAGGAGTCGGTTGTATTCAGATGTCCACATGACAGGTGCTCAGGAATAGTTGGAGGTGTCAAATATTTCTTGGATCATTGCGAACGCCAGCATTCAGGCTGAATCCTGTGCCTCTGGTAGAGGAACCTGGGAACGCCAGACTCATA